GAAATGAACAGACATTTCTCAGACAAAGAAGTAAAAGCAGCAAGTAAATATATGAAAAAATGTTCCACATCACTGATCATTCGAGAGATGCAGATGAAAACAACACTGAGATTCCACCTCACCCCACAAAGAATGGCTGCTATCAAGAAATCAAACAACAATAAATGTTGGTGGGGTTGTGGGGAGAAAGGAACCCTTCTCCATTGTTGGTGGGAGTGCAGACTGGTGCAACCACTATGGAAATCAATATGGAGATACCTCAAAGAGCTAGGACTGGAGGTTCCATTAGACCCAGCCATCCCTCTGCTGGGTTTCTTTCCAAAAGAACTAAAAGAATCATATCACAGTGATATATGTGCACCCATGTTTATAGCTGCACAGTTTGTAATAGCTAAAACTTGAAAGCAGCCCATTTGCCCATCAGTTGGAAACTGGATAAAGAAGATGTGGTTTTTTTATACAATGGAATATTACTCAGACATAAAGAAGGAGAAAATATATTCATTCATAGGAAAATGGATACATATTGAAGATACACTCCTAAGTGAAATAGATAAGTCACACATTTGTAAATACCAAATAGTTTCTCTGGTGTGAATAAACTACAATAATACATAAGATCCTAATAAGATTACTGACATGGTGAAATGGGAAGAAAGGGGCTAAAGGTGTAGGGAAGGTGGGATGGATGGGGAAGGGTAATAAGGGAAAAGAAAAAAATATGAGATAAAGAAAAGATGGAAATAAAGTGCTTTGTAGATGGAGAGGGGAGGAGGGGGTGAAGGGAGGGCAGGGACAAGGGGAAAAAAAATGAGGACCAAGACCTGTCATGTAGAGGTACAAGATCCCAACAATGAATGTAACTGTACTGTAAAATGTACCAATAAACTCAATTAAAGCTGGAAAAAAAATAATGTGGGCAATCCACAGGACATTCTTTCTATTACATTATCAGCTATAAAAGAAGAGAACTGCCAGGTACTGTGGCACACATCTATAATCCGAGCACTTGGGAGTCTGAGACAGGAGGATCTCTGCGAATTCGAGGCCAGCCTGGGAAATATTGTGAGTTCAAGGCCAGCCCAGAGTATACAGAGAAATCCTGCCCAAAAAACAAAATAAAATTTAAAAAATAACTTTCTCTTGTGTGGGTAGCACCCCTTATACTCCCAATTTCACAGTCCCCAGATTCCATATGTAAATCATTTGACAAATATGGTCTGAAAAGTCCTCACCAGTTTCTGCCCAGACAGGACTTCCAGAAGAGCCAGCAGCCTGACACCATCTTTCATGTCTTCAAAAAGATCATCCACCACCATCGGGGGCTTCCGCTGTAAAACAAAAATGCTATTCAGTGTGGCAAAATTTCTAGTTTCTATGAGAAATTTTTGTCCCTTCCCCTTCTTTCACTTCGTGCTGGGGATTGAACCCACAGCTTTCTACATGCTAAGCACACACTCTCCACAGAGCGATACCTGAAGCTCTTTAATGATTTATTTTGAATACAATTGCCAGTTATCTTTCCATAACTGCTAGAAGAAAAAAGATACAGTGGAAATAAAGCTTAACATTCAGAAAACTCATATGATTGATTTTGTGCTTAGTTAGCTTACTTCTAAAATGAAATTAAAAAATAGGGGGGTGATGGCACAAGATGGAATGAAAAAAAGGACACCATCAACCTAAAAAAGAAAGAGAGATTAAATCTGACCTGAAAGGACAGCAGGGAGACATCCCAGATAAACTGTACTGACCTCCCTGCTTCCTGTGAGCAAGCCACATCCAGGGCTTAGTGAGGGGCAGCCCTTCTGCAGGACAACCCCACCAAGGCCTCCTCACTAGCTCAGTGGCCTGCTGTGTGAACGCTGTTACATGACCAAGGTCACAGACCCCACGTTCCCAAAGGGAACCAGACTGGCTGCCTTCTGTTTCCTAGTCTGCCACATCTAGCAAACCACTCTGTACAGCACTGAAGCCAAAGGAGCATAAGCACAGGACAAGATGATGGGGCAAAGCCATTACCACTGCTGCAAAAGTGGCTCCTGTCCAATCATGGGGGTCTTTCATTTGTTGGTGATCTCTACAAATGCTCAATATAGTACAGTTCGTAAGACCTTGAATTAAGTCTGTCCCGGATTAGAAGAAAAAAAGAAATGACACTAATGTTCATGTTCAGTAGAAGGGATATGAGCACCCATTTTTTTGCATTTATCATATGATTTCAAGTTCTATACTTTTCTGATTATCACTGGATATTGTTAAAAGTCTTAACTGCTTGGCTCTTGGCTTTCAATTGTCTTTCATTCTAGAAAAATATGCTCTATGTAGGGACATTCAGACAACAAATGCTTTGTTGAAATTGACTTCTACTTACTGATAGGGAGCAGTTATATTTATCGTATACTTGCATGAATTATGTACTTTGAATGGTACTATTCTAATTTTAAATGTATTTTCCTCTCATTATAAAATGAACAGCTGAACATATTTTGTTCTTGTGCTGTGAAGTACATGTTCAAAAATAGCAGTTTTCATCTTCAATCATTTTCTTGAGTCCCCTCCATTCACAGTGCTTCTTACTGACACAGCAAAGATGTAAAAGTGACTTTATATTATAAACATTAAATAACATTATTTAGAATAAAAGGATCCATTACTGTGAAATTATTTGGTGATAAGAATCAAAATCATTGCATTAACATTATGTAGTTATTATAAATATAATCTATTTGTCACAGAAAGTGTCACTTATATTCTAATAATTTAAATAATGGAAAACATGTAATAGTCCATGAGCAAATACAAATGTTTCTCATATATTGTGTTAACCTGAATACATGAGTAAAGTTAAAGAAAACAGGACATTTTCATGAAGTAATAAAGATTCCAAGACGTGGACATCAAAAAGAGGATGAATTACATGCATTTATCCATCCCACAATGATGCATACACGGATCTCAGCTACTTTGAAAAATATTTTCTCTTGGCCTCATTTTTGCCTCCCACTTTTTTCTTCTCCTGTCTCCACTGGTGCTGTGACATTTTCCTTTTCTCCTCTGGCTGCTGCCTGCACAATGTTCCAAAGGGTTCTGTCACTGGCCTTCAGATTAGCAGTGACTGCTGGACAAGTCAGCAGTTCATCAGCCTCTATTGCTGAAACCATTCTGTCCTGGCTGTTCCTCCCAAACCTCTGGGACCAGTATGCTTAGTTCACAGGCCCCTTTCTATCTCTCCATGTACCCATCTACTCTGCCTACCCGTCTGTCTGTTGGTGTCAATCTGTCTGTCTATCATCCATCTATCATCTACATTTGTCTCTCACCTCTCTTCTCTCTTTTTCTTCCCAATTTTGGCCACTTACCTGATTTAATCCTGAGTTCTTTGTTCTTTACAAAATTGTGTCTGCAGACACATGACTCTTGAATCCTTCTTTCTGGGTAAGTGGTCTCTCTTAAACCTTGTAGAACACATAGCAAGAATTCTGTATATGTTGCTGACCGACTAGCCAAATGAATGAATGAATGTAAATATTTGTGAAACCAGTGAGACACCTTCATTTATCAAGAACTACTCCAGAATGAAAAAAATTTCAGCAACAAATTTTGTAATACCATTTTGCTTGAGTACTATTTGAATACACACACAGTCCATGATCAACCAAACAGGACCTTTACTTTTGTGACTACACCACATTTGGGGGGAACATTCTAATAGATAATATTTTAGCTAAAATATTTCTCCTATCACAGATACAAAAACAGCATCAGTATGACTACTTTGGACTTGGATCGCAGGGCTGGAGGCCAATGAGAATAATTTACCAGAGCCAGACTTAATGGAAAATAAATGCAACTTTTTTTTCACATTTCTTTCGAGCACTAGACAGAAATCTGTCAAACACTTTCCAAGACCAAAATCATCTGTTTTTTTAATCAATAGGAAATTGTAATGAGTTGTACTTTTTCATAGGATATTTGGCAAAATTATATTCTCTGGCCCCATCAGTTATATTTTGTAAGCTCTATGAGACACAGTGGAACCAAGACTGGACCTCTTGACAGGGTGGGGCGATGAGGGAAAAAACAAGATGAGAAGCATCTCACTTCTTGCTACATCTCCTGTAATCTCTTCTCAGACTGCGTCTGAAGTCTGACTCAAGAAGGATGGCCCAGTGCCTAAAGTCCCCCAATTCTCAAGGAACACGCACTTGCTTCAGGTGCTGATGAGTGGGCCTCGCCTGGTGAGTCCCCGGTTCTCTTCTGAGGTGAATACATCCCACAGAGCATTGTTCTGTAATTCTTCCCTCCTTTTTTGTTTTTGTCATAGCAGGCCCTTGACAACTGTAATAAGACCTATTCCCTGACTCCTAGGACTTCAAACATCCAACGCTTCTCCCTGGACTTTATGAAACTTAGGAAGGCACAGGTATTTTTACCAACCATTTCCTATCTTTAGAGAAAATAATCTATGCTCTACCTGAGTGTGTGTGCATGTGCATGTGTGTTTGTGTGCATATGTGTGATTAATGTGTGTGTCTTTGCTAGTTTATAAGAAAATATGCAATCCTTATCTGCCATCTTTTTTTGTATTTTTATGCATGAAAGGATGGCCTTGTTTGCTATACTACTTAGCAGTTTTATGCCCTGAAAACCAATTACCTTCCTTAGGGGGAAAAGATTGAGAGAATAATCTGATGGGAAAGGTATCAAAAATAACCATTTGTGGGCTGGGGATTTAGCTCAGTGGTTCGGTGGCCTGCTTTGCAAGCACAAGAACCCGAGTTCAATCCCTGGTACCAAAAACAAACAAACAAGCACACACACACACACACACACACACACACACACACAAACATTTGTAACATAGGGAAAGCCTGTAATTATAGCACTCCTTTACTCCTAGTGAAGTCTACAAATATGAATTCCAATCTTTAGTCAATTTCTTGTGGTTCATAAGCTTATATATTCAATTTTTTCAGGTAATTCAATAGAAAGGAAAACAGAAGAAAAAAACAGGAAACAGAAGGCGGAATGAGTATAAACCATTAACGTCTAAATGTGTTGAGTATTATTTTGTGGACTCCGCATGACATCTCACTTTATATTCACAGCCACCACATTTCATAATATGATCTTCTCTTCATTTATTTATATTTGCACTGTTAGTAATCAAATCCATGCCACTTGCATGTTGGTCAGTGCTCTATCACTGAGCTACGTTATCAGCCCACTACCCTAAGATATTGGCCAAAGATCATCCTCTATTGACTGGGATTTGAATCTAGGTTGATTATCATTTGAGCCACCCTGCTAGATAGGGAGCTTAGTATACAATGCAGGCATTCTCCAGGATAATACACAAACCTGTAAACGTGACTTTTGTTTCATATCAATAGGGAAAGAAAATATTGGCTGATAAACTGAAGTGCCTGCCACTCTACTAGAGACAGTAAATTTATTAGCAAAGAGCCACTTGTAAGTGTGAATTGAACGAAGACCAAACTGTAGTAATAAAATCATCATGCAAGTAAACACTGGCATTGACACAAGTCAGCATGACTCACACTGTGTCCCCCAGTGATCATGTTTGTGACACACCCTACCTACCCTGAGAGGGGCCCATTGCCTTCTCTTCCTCCATCCAGAAGCTGTTTGAGGTTAAATCAGGCTGTTGCAGTGACTTAAAGACAAGTGCCATCAGTTTTCTACTGTTAAGGTCTCAAGAGCTTCTCTGTTTCTGTTTCTGTCTCAAGACTTGAAGGGTCCCCAAGACACTTCCAGACTTGATGATATGGCAAAATTCAGAAAAGCCCTTATACTCATGGCTATGGTTTATGACAGCAACACAACACAAGTTAAAATCACCAAAGAGAAGAGGCACATAGACTTCAAGAGACTCCATGCACCTGGTTTCCAAGGCGAGTGGCCTGTCCCTTCTGAAGCGGTGTCATGTGGGGATGCAATGCTCTCAGCAAAGATGTGTAGCATGTAAAATGTTGCCAACCAGAGGCGCTCACCTAGGCTTTTGTGTCCAGGGTTTTACAGTGGATCAGTCCCATAAGCACATAGTTTCCATGACACTGACCTCAGCTACTTATATTCCAGCCCTCTTCCTCAGCTGCACCCCAGAAACACACAGGTGTTAACCAAAATCACACTGTTGAAATTAATGGTCTGATCAGAGTGGTACCTCACGGCGAAGGCCTTGGACACACGAACAGAAGTTCCCTGTAAGCACAGAGTCCTCTGATGGGGCAGTGATTACAAGAATAGCCCAGCGCTTATCTCCCCAGATCCGGTCAGGGACTTTCCTAAAGATGGGCCTTGCTTT